TTCGCGATTTGGGCGAGTCCGTATGCGACAAACGGTCTCTCTGTATATATATATATATATACACATATGTATATGCCGTTTGTTGCGAGAGTGTGGTACAAGGAATACACCGAAGGGCGATGATACATTGGGCCAAGATCGAAATTCTACTGGATTGCAGCGCGCCGCATTTCATTCAGGTCTGACGTGCGCACTCCACAACGGCAAGGCCAAATGATGGACGGCTGTGGACAGTGGAGTTGTTGATGAATTGGTGGCAGCAACAACATTCGACGTTAGACTATCGCTTCACATACGACACCAAGTTCTGGAAGTGGAGCGTCGTGCATATCTCGTGCGGCATCGGGCTACTTCGTGCTACGCTGGACGTCCTGACCATCGAGGCAGCCGAGAAAAGGACCAAGTGATCAAGGGACTAAGGAAAAAGCGGGACCTCCTCACCCTCCTCCTCTCCAACCTCCTGCGAGATCAATTGTAGCCACACTTCTTTCGCAGCACCACCAAGACAACACTGGTTAACATGTAACATGTGTTTCGGCATGCCATGATGGCCACGAAGGCTTGTTGCTTTGAGCGTCCTACGTGATAGCAGTGGAGAGTATCAACCAGCCCCCTCTTGGAGATACGCTTCATTTGGCTGCGGGCTTGGTGCACGGGCGCCACTGTATGAATACGAGCATGAAGTTAGGCGAATGGTTTTGTTGAGGTTGCGGATCCTCACGAGGACATGCTCGTTCCAACCTCAGGCAAAGCGACAGAACATTTGTAGGCCTGGAAATGGGCACCAACACCAACACAAGGGGTTGCCTCCACGGTGACAATGATCCTGGATTCCAGTGTGGGTGGAAATAGTTCGGTCACATCGTAAGCCAGAATATTACCACCAACACCGAGATCGGAATCTTATTCCCCCGGTGGAGGCACAACGCCGATATTGATGTTGGTGGCAACTTCTGGGCCTGCCAAAATATTTGTGTCGGATCAGGCAGAGATTGTGGTCTGAGGTGCTCAGCACAACCGAGAGAATGCTTGCAGGCAAGCCAACCCGCGGAAACCACCGCCACCATTTTTAATGCCAAATGTTTTCTCACATGGTGAACTGATATTCTCGTTCTCGTTCCCCTCCTCGTCCTCCTCCACCTCCTCCTCCGACCTCCCTACTCCGTCCTCCCATACTCTTCCCCCTCGCCCCTCCTCCTCCCTCCTCTCTCGTCCTCCTTCCCCCCCTCGCTCCTCCTCCTCCTCCTCCTCCTCCTCCTCCTCCCTCCTCTTCCCCCTCCCCCTCCTCTTCCTCCTACTCCTACTCCTTCTCTTCCTACTCCTCCCCCCTCGTTCTTCTCCATGTCCCCGCCGTGCCCCAGACTTCCAGCAATCCGTTCCGAGCGCGTTGACGGGTGGAACGCGTTCCCATTCAGCTTCCCTTCTTTTCATCGGTGTCCTCCGAACGACCCCGAGTTGGTCTCCAATTGATGCCCCCGAGAGGGCCCAAAGAAAGCCTCCAAAGACTCCAAGAATGCCCCGAGAGCGCCCCAAGTCTGGGGGGAGCTGCTGTGCAGTGGAAATCCTGAACCCCACCGCGCGCGAAGAAACGAGGGGACCAGCCGCCGATCCGGGGGCCGGCACCTGGTGGATCCAGGTGGGAGGCCAACCGGACCCGAGCTTCTGCGGGACCCCACCCTGGCGGCTCCTCTTGGGCGCTGCCATGCCTGCAATCTCGCGGTGATCACGAGGCTCTCAAACTGAGCAGGGACCGACCGTCCCGGCATGCTATAGGCATACCGCGACAGGTTCTCAGAACCCACAGATGTTCGGAGAACAAAGACACTGTTCTGAGAACATACACCCGATGTGCTAAGAAGAAGGTCTCAGCCGCAAATGTTCTAAGAACATTTCGCGTAGACCACAAAAGGTTCTTAGAACATCTTTGGTGGGCCCATAGGCGAGCCAGGACGTTTCGCCACTGCTTGATCAAAAGAAGGGGCTCTGTCCTGCAAAACGAGCAAACAGCCTTGGTGCGAACGGGCAAGTGTCCTACCCCCCCCGGCGGCTCCTCTGTGGGGTGCCCAGGTGGCGCGCCTACTACAACACATCGCGGTGGGCCTAAGCTCAGCATGAGTGTACCACACTGTGAGCTGTTCGAAGATGAGTGAGTCTGGATGTGAGTGAGTCTGGGTGAATCGGAGTATGAGTGAGTGTGCTGTGACGGCGTCTGCGTCGGGTGTGAGTGGAGTCTGTGTGTCAATGAGTCTGAATGTCAGCGAACCTTCGATGCGCAAAGTGTCTGAGTACGACTGAGCATCGTTTGAACATATCTGCAGTGTGAGTGAGACTGAGTATGCGTGAGTCCGAGTGTGAGTGAGTCTGAATTTGAGTGGTCTGCATATGAGCGAGTCGGAGTATTGGACAGGAGTGGGTGGCCCGAGAAGGAGCAGGCGAGAGTGCAAGAAGAATTCGGAGGGGCCACAGCAGTAACAAGAACTCCAGTTCAGAAATTTGAGAAATAAGAGAGATACATCTGTCGCCTTCGACGGCTTGGACGATGCTTCTGAAGTCGACAACGACGAAGGTGGTGTCCAGTCCGTCTACTGCAGAGAGACTCGGCATGCGTTCTCCGAAGCTGAACGTTCCAGCCGCAATTCACTCGAAGAAGCCGGAAGTTCGGAAGGAGATAACTGGGAACAACAAGGAGTGTGAGCGGGGGGCGAGGGAGGCATGGCTGGAGCGAAAAGACAGCTTCCTCAACATGTGAAGACGTTTTTTCGCGACGCGGCTCTCCAAAAATCTGGGCCCCTCCCCAAGGACCAACTTCTCATCCCGAACCGTTTCCGACGGCCCTGGATCCCAGTGGGGGCCCGAGGAGGAGGAGGAGGAGGAGCAGGAGGAGGAGCAGAAGGAGAAGGAGGAACAGGAGGAGGAGGAGGAAAAGGAGGAGGAGCAGGAGGAGCAGGAGGAAGAGGAGGAGCAGGAGGAGTAGGAGGAGGAGTAGGAGGAGGAGGAGGAGGAGGAGGAGGAGGAGGAAGATGGGGAGGAGCAGGAGGGGGAGGAGGAGGGGGAGGAGGAGAAAAGGGAGGAAAAGAGGAGGAGGAGGGGCAGGAGGAGAGGAGGAGGAGGAGGAGGGGGAGGAGGAGGAGGAGGAGGAGGAGGAGATGGAGGGGTAGGAGGGGAGGAGGGGGAGGAGGAGGTGGAGGAGGAGGTGGAGGAGGAGGAGGAGGAGGAGGAGGACGACGAGGAGGACGAGGAGGAGGAGGACGAGGAGGAGGAGGAGGAGGAGGAGGAGGAGGGGGAGGAGGAAGTGTCCAAACCTCTCGCCGTGATGTGCTGCACGACGCGCGGAGGGTCCGGGTTGGCCGGGGCCCACCTGACAAGGCATCGCGCTCTCTGGACGGCGGCGCCCCCCTCTGCTGCAGTGGAGCGCGAGAGCCGGGAACCACCGGCGGGGGCCGAAGCCCCGCGTCCCTGCGCCGGTCTGCGGAGCTCCCTCCTGGCGTGGGGCACGGCTGGTCTGTCCGGGAGGAGGCTCGTGTCGCGATGCGATTGGCTCGGGAGGTCCCCAGGAAGCCGTGGAAGGGGCCCCCGAAGCTACCCAGAGGCCCGCAGGAGGCTCCCAAGAGGCTTCCAAGAGGCCCCGAAACTCTTCCACGGAGGCCCCCGGGAGCCTTCCGAAAACAACCACCACCTCCGGATGATAATTGGGCCCTTCCACCTCACCACCTGACAGTTGATGATCCCCGGCCAATACAGGTTTGGTCAAGGAACAGAGGCGGCAAGGCCGAACTTGATTATCCCTGGGAAACTTGTGAATCGAACTTGTTGCCTTCTTATGTTGAGTAGCCAAGATCCCTAAGGATTCCGATCGATTTCCTCCGGCATCCTAAAGATGTCCTGGGGAATCCTATGCATTCCCTAAGGATTCCAATATATCTCCGGATGAATATTATGGATTTCCTTGTCGTCGGGATTCCTAAAGATTTCTAAAATCCTACGGGTTGTCTGAAAGAGTCCGCCAGATTTCCTATAAGAAATTCCATGGATGTCCGGAGGATCCCCATCGATTTCCGAAGGGATCCTATGGAACTCCCCCAAGGGGTTCCTTAGGAATCCAATGGGATTTCTCAGGAACTCGATGGGTTGTGACAGGACGTCTACGGATGTGTTCAGAAACGCAATAGAGTTCCTAAGACATCCAATGGTTCCTCAGGAATCCGATGGGTCTCTTCAGGAATCAGATTCCTTTTCCTCCTTGCGCGCCCAAGTATCATTTTTCATATCCGCTGTTTTGTGATCGCCGCAAATAAGCCGCCATGGATTCCTTTTGCACCTATGCCATTGGAAATGATTCAACTGAACTTGAACTTTATACTAACAGCTAAGACCCCAATTCGAAGTTGCTTTGAAAACGGGTCTTGGGGTTCCTCGCCCTGCTCCTCCTCCTCCCCGTCCTTCTCCTTCTCCTCCACCTCTTCCTTTTTATCCTATGGATGAAAAAGGGAATCCAATGGATAAGTAGGAGGAGGAGGAAGAGGAGGTGTCGAAAGAACCTTATACATTGTCAAAAAAGGATCCCATGGATTTCCTCCGACGGTTCCCTTTTGGAACCCCATGGGGTTTTGACAATATCCTATGGGTTTCCGCCGGGGTCTGCTGGATGTCCTAAAGGTTCCCATCGATGTCTTAAGAATCCCATGGGTTGCCCACGGGACCCAACTGATGCCCAAAGGATCCCCACGAGTTTCCGGAGGAACCCGATGGATTTCTGAAGAAGAATCTGGTGGAAAACGTGGAGATACCCTGGACGTCCGAAGGAATTTTGTGGATTTCATGCGGAATCCCATAAAGAAACAGCCGAAACCATTATTATGTGTACCGTCGTGAGGGGGCCGACGGATTTTCTATGCAATCCGGTGGGTTCCCTTTGGGTTCCTCAGGATGTCCAGAAGACTCTAATGGGTTTCGTGACAATCCTATGGGCTTCCATCGGGATTTTACGGGTGTCTTAAAGCGGGTACGATGGATTCTTTAGAAAAGGGCCCCAAGGATTTCCTGAGGAATCCTCGAGTCCCACAAATCACGGACGAGCAGGACTGCAAGTTCCACAAGCCGGCCAACGTAGACTGGCTGGCGCACGTGTAGACCAGGCCTCAAAGCTGGGATCCGATTTGATGGGGTCGGATCGTCGCGCCGCATCGCCGACGCATCGCCGATGCGGCTCGCTGTGGAGCTCGTCTTCCTTCACGCTGAGGTCGCCGATGCGTCGCCGACGTCACCGATGCATGGCCAATGCGTGGCCGATGCGTCGCTGATGCATCGGCGATGCTGCGCGATCTTCCGACCACATCTAACTGGGACCCCATCTAGGAGGCCTCTAGCGGGGCACCTAGGCGCGCCGAGCTCGCCAAGCAGCGCGCGGTCATGAGCTGCGAGCAGATCACGAAGGGTGACGCCCTCGAGCTGGGCACGGTGCGCGCGCTGCTCGGCGAGATCGAAAAGCGCGCGGGCGTCCCCGAAAACGTTCTGGTGATCGAGCCCACGGTGGCCGTCGCCTGGGCTCGAGACGGCCAGGGCGAGGACGAGCCCGCCGCCAAGCAGCCCGAGGAGCAAAATCGCTGGGCCGAGAGAGTCGAGAAGGCCGAGCATCTGCTGATCGCGGTGCACTCCGAAGCCCCCGCACACTACGCCTACCTCAAAGGTGTCCAAACGGGGCGCGGGCACGGCCGCCTGGTACCGCGACGCCCTCAATCAGCCGTCTGTGAACGCCAAGCAGGCCGCCACGAGGATCCCCCGAAAGCTCGGCGCCATCGGCCCTGCCGAGGAATGCCCTGCGAACAGCAACAATGTGTTCCGAGCGGATGGCTGGACTTGCGGCCTCTGGGTGACGAGGTGGGTCGAGCGCGCCTTGCGCGAGATCTGGGACGAGGGCCAGCAGCCGCCCATCGGCGTCACCCAGGCGCGTGCCCGAGGCAACGGGTGGATCCAGAAGCTGCAAGACGCGAGCGCCAACCACTCCGCCACGGCCAAGGCCAAGGCCAGGAGCAATGGCAAGGCCAAGCCGCCGAGCGCCCTGATAGCGCCAGAGCCCAAGTATGGTAACCTCAAGGAGGCACAGGCTGCAGCGGTAGCGTGCGCGACGTGCCTCCCGTGCACGGACGGCCCCAAAGGATGCCGAGCATGCATGGGCGAGTGGCTCGAGCATGTGCGCAAGAGAATTTTCTTGGCGAGAACCGTCAAGGACCTCGAGCTCTCAGGCAAGCTCTAGAAACCAACTCTCGCCGAGCACCAATAGTCGCAAGAGCGAATCATTAACATTTTCATCACCTTCATCATCCTCATCATCATCATCTTCATCATCTGCAAGATTGCCATTGGAATCCTACGGATTTCCTCCGGAACCCAGTGGATTTCGTGAGGATCCCGATCGATCCGTACATAATCCAATGTGTTAACGATTCCTATGGCTTCCCGAAAGGACCCTACGGATTTCCATATGATCCCGATGGATGTCCTAAAGAACCCAATGCAGTTCCATAGGAATACATCAGATGTCCTTAGGATTCCCATGGATACCCTGAAGAATATGATGGCTTTCCATCGGACTCCTCCTATACATATATATATATATATATATATATATATCATACGGAACCCGATTGATGTTCTGAGGAAGCCTGAGGGTTTCCGCATGAGTCCTATGGATTTCCGCAGGAATCCTAGGGATGGTCATAGGATTTCTAGGGATTTCATTTACGGAATCCTACGAATGTTCGAGAGATCATCATGTATTGCCTAAGGAACATCATCGGTTTCCATCGGAATCTATTGATTTCCTCCGACATCCGATGGATATCCTGAGGAATTTCATTGATTGCTACAAGAATCCGATATATTTCCTTCGGACTCCGATGGGTATCTTAAGACATCCTAAGGATTGCCATGGGGTCCTTGTGGACTTCCGAAGGGACCCTATGGATGTCCAAACAAATCCGATGGATGTCCTAAGGAATCCGATGGATATCTGAAAAAACCCTATGGAATACCTAGAATATCTAATCGATGTCTATAGGATTCTTAGGGATATCCTAAGGAACGCTATGGATGTCCATTATATTCTATGGATTTCCTGAAGATCCCTATCGACTTCCTCAGGATTCCCATGGATATCCCAAAGACTCCGATGGGCTTCCATAGAATTTCTATGGATTTCCTAAGGAACCCGATGGATATCCTAAAGAGTCCTATGGATTTCCATCGGATCCTTATGGATGCCCGAAGGACTCCTATGGATTTGTTGACTAAGTTATGAATGTTCAAGACCATCTTGATTATCAACATCGTCATCATCTTCATCATTCTGCTGAGATCTACGCGACAACGTTTTTAATCCCGGCTGGACCCCGAACTTTATTATCCCCAGGGGGGTACTATCGGGAGCTCAGGGTTACCCCAAGACGCATCCCTGAGTACACTGGCGAACGTCAGCGTCGTCGTCGCCGCCGTCGCCGACGTCGTGGTCTCCCTTCAGGGTCGGCGATACCAGCCGTGAGGCCTTCGCAGTAATGCCATGGTGCGAGTGGCTCGGGATACGTCCTGGGAGTCCCAGAGGTTCTAGCGGCCCGCGGTCACTCGCACTCGGCACTGGGCTATTCGCCTCTGGCTGCGCGGGAGAACAAGAGAACCTGGACATCTTGGAACGCGTCATTGCCATTACTTTTCGCACCTCTGGTTCAGTTTTTCCCATCGGTACGAAAACTGAAATCCAGAGCCTCATGAACGCCGAGCGCTCACAGTTGTCAAAAACCGTGGCCTGTCGCGGGCCCGCGCGCCCGGCCCATCAATCAGTCCATGCTGAAGGGCCCGAGGTAGCAGCACCAGCAGCCTGTGCCGCCGTTGCCATCCCTAGCGCGCCCTCCTGCTCCTGCTCCGGCCCCTGCTCCTGCTCCTGCACCTGCTCCTCCTGCTCCTGCACCTGCTCCTGCTCCTCCTCCTGCTCCTGCTCCTCCTCCTCCTCCTCCTCCTTTTACTCCTCCTCCTCCTTTTACTCCTCCTCCTCCTCCTCCTGCTCCTTCTCCCCCTCCTCCGCCGTCTCCGCTACCTCCTCATCCCCCCTCCCCTTCCGCCCCCTTCTCTCCCCTTCTCCCCCACCTCCCTGTCCACTCCTCCTCCTCCTCCTCCCTCCTTCCTCCTCCTCCTCCTCCCCCTGCCCCTGTCCCTGTCCCTGTCCTCCTCCCTCCTCCTCCTCCTCCTCCTCCTCCTCCTCCACTGCCTCCTCACCCCTCCTCCTCACCCTCTTCCTTCTCCTCCTCCCTCTCCTCCTCCTCCTCCTCCTCCTCCTCCTCCTCCTCCTCCTCCTCCTCCTCCTCAGTCTGCGGCGCGCGCGCCCACCGTCCCTCCGACGCCGAACGGGGGCGGCGACGAAAGCGGGGGCGTGGAAGGACGGTAGCAAATCATGGCCCAAGGCGCGTGCGTGGGCGAGGGCGAGGCCAGGGGAAGCGCTGAAGGAAGAAGAGGGGGCCACGACATCTTGAGAGATACCAGGCCCAGGCCATGATGTCCACCCACCCTGATCATCTTCCCCCTCTTGGACGCCCAGGACACTCCAGCGCGAGCGGCGCCAGGCGGGCAGGGAACGCCGCGCACGGGTGCAACAAGGGAGAATACAGCAAGCAGTTCTGTCACTGGCGACGCTCGCCCTCCGACCTCTTCGCCGTGAGGTCTTTGGCAATTTTCGGCCTCTGGGGGACCTCGCTGGGCCGGTCGAAGAACGACTCGGATGGAAAGCCGGTCCCCGGGGAGGGGCCCATACCTCTTGGGAGCCACTTTTCGAAGGCTCAGGGCCTCCCAGGCAGGGCGGCTGAACCCCAGACGTCGGGGGAGCCACGCTGCGAAACAAAATGCGACGTCCGAGGTGTGGGCCTCCCAGGGGAGGGTGGATTCCAGACTCGCCCAGAACAGCCCCAAGCGGGCTGAAATAAACTCCATCAATGCTCCTCGAAGTGCGCTCACGGAAAGGCGTGGCACGCGCGACGGCCTCCTCTGCCCAGCAGCCAGCCACGGTGGCGGGACATGCCGCAGGCACCTGGACAACCTCTTCCACCGACGGGGACGCAACCTGTCCCCTGTCGGGGATCTACTGACCCGGGTCAATCCAAACCTGGGTCAGTCGGGTTTTGCAGGACCCTGCATGATCCTGCAGGATCCTGCACCCCAGCCCGGGCCAATGCACCCCTCAGGCCCTCTGCAGGATCCTGCAGGAGCTGGCGCTTTGGCTGACCTCCGATTGCAGGGGCCCCCGCCCATGGAGCCCCTCATCTCGGGGGCGGCCAAGAGGGGGGCGTCCAAGAGGGGGGGCGCAGATCATGGCCGGCGACGTGTGCGTGGCCTACGGGGGGGGCCGGGGACGTACCGAAATATGGGGGGGACGTACTGAAATATGGGGGGAATATCATGTCTCCCGCTATGATATCCTCTTGGCCGCCCCCGATCCTCCGGGGGGCCGCGCCGTGAGCGGCGCCCACGGCGTCGGAGGTCCGGGGGGCAGCCGCCGCACGCGCGGGCCCGCCGTGCGCTCTCCCCACGCGGGGCCGCCACCGAGCGGGCGCGCTCGGGTTTGGCAGGTGGCGGGGGAATGGCCTGCTGCGGTCCGTGGCCGGTGCTTTGCGGCTGCGGCGCGGCGGGGGGAAAGCCCTTTTTTCTCCTCCTCGTCCTCCTCCTCCTCGTCCTCCTCCTCCTCGTCCTCCTCCTCCTCCTCCTGCTCCTCACCCTCCCCCTCCTGCTCCTCCTCCTCCTCCTGCGCACTCCCCTGAGAGACCATGAGTCCGTGGTGTCCACAACAGTGCTACATGCATGCAGAGAAAGGAAAAGAGAGGGGCAAAGGAAAGAAGGGCGCGGGGGGGGGGCCTCCTCGCCGCCGCCGGCGGCGCTCCCGACTAACCCACATAGGGGTCCATAGGCATGTACATGGGAGCGCAGCCAGACTCGGGCGGTGTGAACTGGCCGATCGGACACGTAGGGGCCGAACGAGCAACAATACCACACAAGCATTCAGCAACAACACGGCACATGGCGGACGGCCACTGGACGGAGGAGGCCATGAATCCGTCCATGCAGTCGAAGCCTGCCCTTAAGTTATCACTGAGAAAGAGGGACCTAGACGAAACAATCCTCATTGGCACCGTGCTCCTGGGCATGCTGAGGACGAAATCACACACTTCAGAGAGACCGAGAGTCCAGGCGAGCTCAGGCAACTCCCAGGGGGACGGTAGGTGCGGGGTGACCTGCTGATTCATGTGCACCAAAACGCATGGGATCTGCATAGCACGCGCGACGACAGAAACCGAAATCGCAAAGCGCAGGTGGCAATTTTCGTCCTGCACCCGCGCCCAGTCTTTAGGAGCGAGGTCGGGGGATCCCCAAGGGTGAACAACAGCACGGAAGGGCCTAGCGCGGTCAAGCCTCTCACACCACGTCTCCACACCTGGGGCTGCAATTACACCGAGCACGGTCCTGGACGCTAACAAATGTATGATCTGATCACGCTGCTTACTGGTGGCGACGGCCTCCTGATTAATCTGTAGAACACACAATGACAAGCCATGCGTGGCAAAGAACTCCTCACACCACCATTGTACATCGTGCAGTGTGCGAGCAGACGAAGACACATGCAGAATGTATGCCGTGTGCACAACACGAGGTGCAGCAGGCGAAGGGGGGGGGAGAGAAGCCACGTTCACCTCCAGGGGCACGGGGCGGCACCCAACACGGCCCACGGAACCAGGGAGGCCCAGGGAGACAGCGGCACCAGACAAACCAGGACCAGGAAAACGAGACGGCGGGGTAGTGGCCTTCTCCTCATAATATCCCTGCCTGCGCAACTCTCGGGAAACATCAGCATCATTCAATCGCTCTTTCGTAACTTGATCGGGGGGCAGAGCTGGGAGCACTGCGAGCCAGTTGGCCAGGCATGACTGTCTACCGTGCCTGAGATGTTTCAAGAGCCTCAGCCTAGTGTGAAAGTTCAAGCAACAGGATTGACATTGAGTGCCTGATGCAAGCCGGCCTGCTGGGTCTAGCTCGGGATGGGCCTTTGTACGATGTGAGGCCCAAGATGCACGCGTATTGAGCACTGCGTCGCAGTCTTGGCACGGAAATACAAACAGCGGAGGAGGAGGCACAAGAAA